CTATCACTCAGAAGAGAAATCAGGACACATTCTGATGTATATAGTTCAAAATAAAGAAAGACCTTAACATTCTATTGAGGAGACCTATCACCCTTAATAAATACTCATACAAAGGATTTAAAAATTTGAACCAACATCAAGAATGTCCGATTATATCCATCATGTGACACAGCAAGACCTATCCAATTTAACACGAAAAGAGCAAATAAATTAAATGCTGAACTCAGCGTCTCCACAATGATTAATATAGAAGCGTTGACAACATGTTAGGAGCATTTACCATGTGTATGAAAAGAGAGCGTTTCACATGGGTAATGAGAGCGTTTCACATGGTGTGTGTGTGTTGTGGTGAGATTGTTAACAAATGTGTGGGAGAGGCATTTCACATGTGGATAGTGAGAGACATTCATTTATGAATGTGAGAGCAGCAGATACACAATGTAGTGTGAGCAGCGAATCACATGATAGTGAGAGTGTTTCACAATGTAATCAATGGGAATAACTTTGGATACTCATGTGTGTGTGGAGGAGTGTTTACAAATATGTGAACGGTAATTTCGATAAATTCACTACCACAACCATCTAAATACTACCACATTAGGGAGGCACACACACAGTGGCACGGCGAGGGAAGCCATATGCCTCAGCAATAGTCCGCCATATAGGAAAAACGAGCCAACTGACACGGAAGTAATTATTCCTGCCTTAACTGTTACATTAAGATATAACAGGTGATATCTGCACTATCATAAAAATCAACACAAAAAAAAAACTAGAATATAATCTTAGATTAATTACACAACATCGAATTGGTTTAAATTGGGACAATGCTTATTGTATATCCCCCTTACGAAATAACGGCAAAATAAAGGGACATGTCAGAACAAAGGATGCGTCCACACACGAGACACAAACTAATCAAATGGTAAGGATTCCCCATATAGTATTTGTGCCGGACAAATGAAATAAACTTAACACACTCAGAGAAAGGAGCTCGGACCAACTCATCAGATACTTTGGTACACAACCAAGAATAGCGCTGGAACTTGCTCTTACATAGACAAGATTACGAAAATCTGCACTTCAAAAAGTATGCATTTCTCGACAATAAAAACAGTACCCGACCAGCATAAACTGACTAACATAAAGAGCAGTACAATTAAAACAAAGAAAAACCAGTACAGAGTACAGATAGAGATATCAATACTTATAGCTAACATAACAGATAACAAAGGCCTAATGAGCCTAAACACACGAACCAAAGCCAAAAAAAGAATATATTATGGTGAAATATATAACATTCATCTTCTTACCCCCTCAAATACACAATTAATGAAGATAAAAAAACTGAATCAGACAATCGACCTATCACCGTTGAAGGAAATAATACGAAACACTAAGAATACAATGAATGAGAGGATGACGGGGTAAGTATTCCGTCCATGAACTGCACACGACCAACACCTAGAGAGTTGAATTTTAGTAATAGCGAAATCACAATTGAATCTACTAACAGAACATAAATTCACACAATTGCTCCAGTTTCACAATTTGCACTTTCGAAGACGCATGGAAAACCAAAAATCCCATTCTCTCACCAACAGAAAAAACATAAACAACATTCAACAAGAAATTCCCCACTTCCTACTCCCATTCATGACGAAAATAGCCCTGATCATTCCCATGGCACCCATATCCCTGTTACACATGTTCCTTCCCGTACGAATTGTAAATCCGTACTGTCACACCAAGCGCCCAAAAAATGTTCCTAAATCACCACGAGGAACAGAAAACAGAAATTAGAAGATTGAGGGAAACTTGCTCAAGTACAATGTGGTGGTTCTTTAAACAACCAGGGCTAAAAATCAGCTTTCTGGCTAAAACGCTGCCAGAAAAAAACTTGCATAGCCAATTGCTGTGGTTCCTTGAGTAGGAAAAGCCAAGGTATATACAGTTACAATGCAGAAAAAAGCTACTCCAGGCAAAACCTTATCTTCGTGCCATTGGAACACACTGTTTTTTAAGATTGGTTGGTTTAACACGGTAAGAAAGTGCCAGTTAAGAGACATTAGCAAGGTAACAAAGGCCATAAGCTTCAATACTTCATTGTCAAATAGCAAGAAAAACACTCCAGAAACAGCTTTCAATAGAGTAACAACCCACACATTTTGATGAGGGAAAGACCAAATAAAAAGCATATTTGAGGCCGCGTTAATCCAATTTGGGAATATACAGATGTATCAAGAATTAGATTTCAGAAAAAACATGTAAAAAAGGGATTTGCAATAAAACAAAGGTTAAGGGTGGTTCAAATTCAAATTCAATTAGATTTTTCCACAGATTAGCTCAATAACCGACCCATTCCGGGATTTCAGAATTCCAGTTGCGTCACTCACAATGCAACAAACGAGGGACTAACCATCAAACCAGAACGAAGTGGACCAAGAGAAGTGAGGGAAAAAAAATAAAAACAATAGTCCAGGGACAGACCAACAGATAACCCACTAATGCCCGCCCGCTTCTTCCAACAGGCCAATTGGTGGGAAATGGATCAACACACCATTTATCTTGCTTGATCGTTAAAACTACACGTCACATGCCCTCCAAGGGAAGCCCACCTGGACCGTTGGAAAGTCCGTGGGCCAAACGGTTTTACTACAACCCGATATGTGTCAGCTGTGTTTCTGGGCCCCTCAAAAATACTACTCCCTCATTGACTATATTTGTGGAAGGAGACAACTGGTATCAAGCGGATAACTTTTTTAAACAAATCGACCGCCGTACGACTCCCTTTATATGCCTGTTATTTTAAACATAAGATTGAGGTGTAAAATGTGCCTGAACCTGAATCCCAAGAATATTCCATCTCTAAATTTGACAAGCAAGATTTGTTGATGCTGAAATACAATCCCCGTACGGGTGCTTTCCCAACAAATTCAGTTTTATTTGGTAATGTCCCATAACAATCTCATGTGCCAAAAAGCCTGAACGCAGAAAGCGTTGGATTTGGCCGCGTGACCACCATGGGCCGGGGCGTGGGCTGGTGATCAGGGGGCACATTTCCTGTACTGTCCATGTCAACAGGAGTGACATCCGCACACACACAAGGACCCGCAATTATGGGCAGAAGCCAAAAAGCCCAAAATATATAATTCACCAGAGTGGGAAGGATGATAGTTGTACTAGTCCAATCAAGTCCAGTCGTCTCCACGCTGCAATGGAGCCGTGGCTGTACAAGAAGGTAAATGTTTTTAGGAGCGGCTTTCCAAAACAGTGCACAAAGCTACGAGACAGGAATCCTCCCTAATCGCACCTCNGCTGTCACACCCATTCTCAAAAGACCTGGACTCACACCTGACATCATGTCCAACTTCCAGCCCATCTCAAATCTCCCCTTTCTGTCAAAAATACTTGAACGTGTGTTCAAGTATTTTTGACAGAAAGGGGAGATTTGAGATGGGCTGGAAGTTGGACATGATGTCAGGTGTGAGTCCAGGTCTTTTGAGAATGGGTGTGACAGCAGCCAGTTTGAGAGAGGGGGGAACTGATCCAGATCTGAGGGAGGAGTTAATGATGGTGGCGATGAGCTGGGAGATGGCAGGGAGGCTCTCTTTAACAAATTGGAGGGCATTGGGTCAAGTGTGCAGGTGGAGTTAATTCCAGTCATGAAGTGGGACAGTTGCATGGGGGTCACAGGGGAGAAGTGGGACAGGGGCTGTGAGGTGAAGGGGGGGGAGCCAGGAGAGGAGGTGGGGGGTGCTGATGAGGGTGTCAGATTGCTGTAAATGTTGCTGATTTTGGTTTGGAAAAAAGAAAGGAAGGAGTTGCACTGTTCGGTGGTGAAGGACGAGGTGGCGTTGTCACAGGGTTTGAGAAGTTTGCTGATGGTGGAAAAGAGACGCTTGGGGTTGCTGGAGCCAGACTGAATGAGTTGTGAGTAGTAATTAGACCGGGCTGCTTTGAGTGCGTTACTGTACTGCTGGAGATAGTCTAGTCACAACTCACAAAACACACAACAACAATGGAGGATGTGGAAGCCATCATGTCCTTGCTTCTTGGTATGTGTTTTTTTCTTCTTAGGTTCACTGTTTTCAAAAATGCTGCAAGGTTCAGTTTTCAAAAATGCTGCAAGCGTCCCTTAATATATGCAACACTAGGGATTAAGTCGCGCGAGCATTGTGACGATTCTCTCTGACCAATCAGCAGTCGTCACTAGTTTAGCATATTCCGCCCGGTTGTTGGCCCCGCTTGTTGGCCTCGATAGAACCACAATTTAGTCGGGCCAGAAAAAAGGTGAAAAAGTAGCCCCGGGCCAAAACTAGGCCAAGTGGAAGCGCAACCAAAAACGGGCCCCGCACGGCTCGGCACGCTTAAAGCGAGCTCCGCGCTGCAGTGTGAATGCGCCATAAGAGTTAGACCCGGCACACTTAGCTAATTTATCTACTCTGGAACAAGCTAAACTAGTTATAAATATATGTATTCTTTACTGTCGGGTCACTTACATGTTCAGCGAGCTGCACGAGACTGACGGGCTGTCAGGAGAGAGAGGAAAAGAGAGCACCCCGTTTATTTTTCCCATTTTATTATCCAGAATTACTGTAAACCTTTGAATAAAGTAGTTAATCTACTAATAGCAGTTTGTTTAAATGCATTACTTATGTTGTTTTTTTCATTAACATAAAATAAATCTCACGTACCTCCTGCAGTACTCCAATGTACCCCTAGGGGTCCGCGTACCCCCATTTGAGAACCACTGCTCTAAAGAACTACTATTTAGTTGCTAAGAACTTCAAACTAAAACAAATAAAGCAGCATTTTTAAAATCAGTAAAGAACCAGATTATTTGCACCTTTCAAGCCAATATCTGGAAACTTTGAAAAACTATTACAAACCTGCAGTAGGTGGAAGTGGTTGCAAAATATTCACAGTTATTATTGTATTCACATTCATACAGTCCAAAACACAGAAAGAAAAATAATCTCCCGTCATCGGTCAAGTGATTTCAGTAAATCTCAATAAAGACTTTTATTTTTTTATACCAAAATAGGCAGTTAGAGCAGGGATAAATATTATAATATGTAAGATATACAGTAGTTCCATCTCTGTAATAGATACTTTGCATCGGTGCTTTACTCTAACAGACAGTGGCATGGTCCCCCGGCTGAAACACAGCAGAGTCACACAGAGAGTCCAGTTCTGTCAACTGACAAGTTGACAACCGCCAAGTCATGGAGGATTACCGATGAAAAAGAAAAGATTTAGCCGGACATTCTGTGAGGAAATATGAAAGCTCTCAAAACACATGTGGTCAAAACAATTTATTGTTTGAGTCTTAAAGCTATTCTGATGACAGAACGGTCTTTCTACACGTCTCTGGTCTCCAGTCAGCTTGGAGGAATCGCATTGGGGGGGTTGAGGGTGGAGATGAGTAGTGGGCGGCTGACAAGGTCCATACAGGGGCTGTGTTACCTAAAGCATCTCGGTATTCCAAATGTTCAATTGATAACAGATTTTGTTGTCATGTCGGGTGAGCCCCTATGTGGCATCACTCTCTTTTAGCTCTGATTTTGGTCTCCACCTTCTCCTTAGTTAAATATCTGGCTCCTTTGGTGCTACATGCTCCATTATGTTTAGCAGCCCGATGCTAACTGAGTAAGTCTGTTGTTGGATTCTGAGCAGGTAGTGGACAGTGAACTTGTTTTAAGAAATAATTCATTAAGAACAGCTGTGTGCTGCAGAATAAAACAATACTATGAGAGCAGTGAGAATCGGCTAAGTGGTGGGCCAGATGGCTAACACTTGAAACTGAAACTCACGCTAAGCTGTGGAGAGATGCAGATTCAGGTGATTTTTCTGTTAACCTTGTCATACGTTTTCACATTGTGTCATTTGATACATTCTTATTAGAAAAATATTGATATAGTCGCTTTACGTGAAAAGTCAAACCATTCATTTTTACCTGTTACCCAACAGAGGGTTGTGTCTGTGTGTCACACGATTTTTTACAAGATGTGAATAACGATGCATGAGGACGTCCAAGGCAAGGGTCACATGAATGACACAGCTAGTACAGATAGAGTACTTAGTACTGTAACGTTGCATATTGTAGATCCAAAAAGCAGGAGACAGGGATTAAAAATAAAAACACATTCTCACAATTGTTTCATAGTGGGCAAACTATTTGTGAGACCACTAAAACAGCTTTGATAAAACAACCTATTTCTGGATAACAGGTAAAAATGCAACACTTGGATTGTCCACCTGTATTATGGGAGAACAAAGGTCACAAATGCAGTTATTTTCAGGTGATATTCATGCACACTGGGACTGAAGGCTCATACAAATCCAGCATGACAGAAACCTGTTTCAAAGAGACCTTATGCAGTTCATTGGTGGTCATTGACAGTAGCGTTTACGAGAGGGTGACGAGTAACTTTAACTACAGTAGCGTGACATACAGCAAATGACCAGAAAGAGTTCCCTGACCTTGTTTGCTAGCAATATAATCACTGAAAACTGAAAGGAGAGTGAGTGTGTCACACCAGAAACATTGGGACGGGTTAAGATGCTTTTAAGAAACCAGCCCTCATTAGTGCAACTACAGTAAGAAGGAGAGTTATAACATTGATGCTGATGATTATGATGATCGTGTTGATGTAGAAGATGATACACTGATTGATGGTGGAGCGATCAACTAATGTCACAGTGTGAATGTGAAGAAAGAGAGAGAGGGGAGGGGCAGGGGGGATGAACGCAATGAGTCAGCGAGGAGGAAGAGAGGGGGGGTGGCAGAAAAGTTTTTCAGGAACTGTATCAAACTGCGAAAAGTGAAATTACTTCACCATTACAAATGTAAACTATTTGTCAAATTTCTATTGATATAAATGACTCGTAGTTTTAGCCTATTCTTTGTCACTCAGTTTGAGCATTAAATAGGATTCTAAACTACTTTTTCTTCCCTTTGCTTCTTGTGTACATTTGGTAGTAAAGCAGCCATTGATTCAGTTTGCAATCACTTGCCATATATTCTTATCTGCACCTTGCAAAGTGGCACTAATGCACCCTTGTTGTCTGTTTTCTCTGGTGTACCATCAGCAGATTTCTTTTCATTTCAGACCAATAATGTGTCCATACCTTATTGAACTGTACATTTCCACTGGAGAAATGATGATACATTTTGTTCACATCACTGAGTGAATTGTTAACATATTCAAAAACAATTAACTGGATAAAAGTGTTGTAATCCTTGATTACTTGTTTCTGTTTTAAGCATATTTTATATTTCAATTTCCCTTTTGGAATCTTTCTTTTTATTTTAGAAACATGGGTTTAGGGCTCAAAATTAACTCTAAACACACCACAAGCCTCAATATGTTATTTATTACAAAGCTATCTAATTTACTTTCTAATGATTATTTAACTGCAAAATGCTGCTTCTTAAAGGAAATATTGTTTTCTTGTCTCCAATTGTACTTTAGTTCCATTTGGGCCTTTGATACCAAAATGCTGATGCAGATTATAAAATCATCACCTTATGTATAAAGTCTGTAGTCTGAAGGGGAAGAAGGAAGAGGAGGATGAGGAGGAGGAGGAAGATATGGGATATGAGAGAAATATAGAAAAGACTTAACAGGAGCAATGCCATGAAAAGACGGACAGTTGGGAAGGAGATCAAGATTTTGTCCCACAAACATGCTCTTAAAGCTACAGCGTGCAAAAGTCTGCCTCTTGGTGACAATAATATCATTACAAACCCATACATGAATGCATTACCCTTCGTTAATATGAAAACAACAACGACAACAACAATAATAAGAACAATAATGAAATCAAATCAGATAATGGTACATGTCGCCATGATTTAAACCACCTCCTTAAACATTAAGGAACTGAGCCGTAGGAAGATCCACCGATAGGCTGCTGGACAGACATTAGCCCCTCCCACTTAAGGAAGTAGCAGTCCCAGATAGTCCCAGCCCTGTCCGACTGTATGTGCTTGTGTAAATGTGTGTGTGTGTGTGTGTGTGTGTGTGTACTAATGTGTGTGTACAAGAGATAGATAGAGAGGAAGCAGGCTGATAATAGAAAATGAGAGATGGAGGAAGTGTGGAAATAGTGATGTGTGTGAGGATGTAGTGTGTGTTTGTTCAGAGTCGCTCCTTGGTGGGCACCCAGATGTAAGGACCAGACTGCTCCTCAATGATCTGCTTCACCTGCGAATACACCTCCTCTAGAGTCGAGCCATGGACGATACCTGCAGGCAGGTAGACAGAAATTAATATCCAAGAAGATCCTTTACATAAACATATTACCATGGCAACCCACTGTGTGTGCTTAAAGGAAATATATATAAAAAGCTTTTATTAAATAAGCAGTAACCTTTAAAGGTCCACATCTGTGTATTTCATTGACTGAAGGCCTATGTGTGTTATTTACATAAAGCAATGGTTCACCTCGAGACCATTGTCTGAATCTCCTGTGCACAAAACTGTTATATTGAGACTGCAATGTGTCTCAGTTTACCCAATAATGTCACAGATTTTGCTAAAGAAAGGCTTCAACATTTCGGGAAATACAATTATTCTCTTTCCTGCCCACAGTGAGATGAGAAGATCAATACTCTTCTACTAACCGGTGAAGAACTCTGTGAACTCCAGCTCCAGTTTGACGGCTCTTTCGAAGGACTTCCTCGCCTGCTCCTCATTGAAGCGCTTGTTCATCTCTCTGGAAAGACAGACATGAGGTGTCCATATTAAAGAACAGAATATAAAACATTGTTTAATTATTTCATTCAACTGCTGACAAATGATAGGCTGATACTGTACCATCTCACTGTAGTGATCCTGATCAAAGAAGAGTTAAAGGTCACCTATTATGCAAAATCCACTGGTTCATGTCTTTTATACATCAACATGTGTCCCCTCTGTGTAAAGAGATTCTGAAAGTTTCAGGAACAATTATTCGTTCTCTTTCTGTCCTGATCCATTTATATAAAAACTAATGCTGTCAAAATTATCGTGTTAACGGCGGTAATTAATTTTTTGAATTAATTGCGTTAAAATATTTAACGCATTTAATGCATTTAACACATGTGCAGAATGGCCCGCCCCATACATCCCACCAGTGGCAGCGCTGGGGTATGGCTGGGGTAGGCTACAGCCATACCAAGAAATGGCTTAGCCCCACCATGAAAAATGATGTTAAAGTAAGCAAAATAAAGTCTGCCAACTCGCGCGGAGTAAATTGCACAGACAGCAGTTAGTAAGATTGATTTCAGTAGCCACTTGTCTGGAAATACCGAAGACTAGAAACGCTTTTGAAAACTTTTGTCACGTAGTGATCGTCTTCTCAATAGAACATCTTTGATAATGTCTTCTGGCCAATCAGAATCAAGATAACGGCGTGGTGATGTTGCAGGAAATCCCGAAGGAGAATACTTTTGCTGTAGTACTTCTCTATATACATCGATACAACATTACGTGTTGATAGAAATCAACACGTAATGAAATAAGACCCCACGGTTTGATGATTGATAGGTGTGTGGGCTGTCTTTCATTTTGACACACAGAACAATGTTATAATAAACATACATACTGTATAAATGGATATATCCGCCTTCTTTCATTTATCTTTCCATTCCCACAACAATATACATAAATAAATGGCATATTTTAGACATAGTTCGAATGGTGATTAATCATGATTAATAAATTTTTAAGCTGTGATTAATCTGATTAAAATTTGTAATCGTTTGACAGCCCTAATAAGAACCTGTCTGAAAATGAGCTGATCAGTTTTTGGCCCCTTTGTGATGTCATAATGTTTTTTTTGGCTTGTGTAACCAATAGCCAATAACCAACAAAGGTACCCCCCCCACCTTATCACCTGAATCTCCTCCTAGAGCACCATTGTGTTCTTTGTAACCAAATATCTCTCAGAGGGGCGTATTTTTTCCTCTAAAGTAAAAGACAGGGAATCAGCCCTTTCGAAACAGGGCTGAAACAGAGGGGATTATGGGATGCTACAATGCATGATCTGTTTGGTATTTGGAGCCAAACACTTCGGAGACATGTTTTGTGTATATCTGAGACCTAATAATATATGGATGAAAAACAGTATAATAGGAGACCTTTAAGTTACAGTATCTTTAAAGGTAGCTGGAGACACATATTGCATAAACAAAAACAAATGTCCTGTATGATTGCATGACTTCTGTTTTTGTACAGACTTCATAAAGTAAATGTCATTTATTTAACAGGTCTGTCATTAATAATCTAAATGTGATGTTTCTTACAGGATGTTGTCGACATTGCGTGGTCTGATGAAGACAGCGATGGGATGAAGGCCTGCCAACTGGAGACGCTTTATCGCATTCCCTGATACATCCAGTATGCAGTGTTTACCCTGCAAGGTGACATACAGAGACATCATGTGTTACTCCTCTCTGTTTCTTCTGTGTTGTTTTTATCATCACACTCTCTCTTTAACTCACCTTATCAGCGACCTCTTTGACCGATTGTATGCTGGTCCCATACAGGTGGTTGTTGTACTGTCCCGCCTCGATGAACTTGTGTTCCTGGATCTCCTGCTCCATGACCTCTCTGGAGGCCATGAAGTGGTAGTCTCTGCCGTCCACCTCGTAGTCTCGCCGCGGCCGTGTTGTGTCTGTTAATCATAGATTTGAAACACATTAAAACTCTATTATTTAAGACCAAATATAATGTTGATTTCAGTTTGCCCATAGTCCTGACTTTTGTTGTCAGTCCTGCATACTGTATACCAGAAAGTACATTTCCATTCACTTCCTGTCAGTTCATCCTATTTGCTCTATGGTTTTATGGTGTCTGTTATTTTTATGACCACATTTACCTGAACTCACCTCACTTCCTGTATTCCTATAAGTCACATGTTATAAGTCATATGTTACAGCATTATAAACATGCTTTTTTAAAAGTTAGACAAATAAAATCTTTGCTTGAGTGCTAAGTTACGGTTTTATTGAAGAGTTCATCGCTGGGATTCATCATAAAGTTAGAACACTCACGTGGGACGCAGGAGCCAAACTTGTCAGGGAACTCGGAGATGAGGTCATCGTTGATCCGGTCTTTCATTGGTCCGAGCACTATGACTGGTCGGGTGTAAGTAACTGGGATAAGATAAACAGAACCAGGTTAATACACGTACAAAATGACACTAAGACAGTTTGTTAAAAAAATAGCATGTGAAGATAAACAAATCATTTAACTAATGAATGCCTTTAGGAACCAACCATCACAAGACAGTAAAATAATAATAAACAAATGAGTTACTGTGATGTGAAATTGAGCACTGACCTTCCAGTTGCATGACAGGCTGGTATGTGAGGAGGGTCTCCTCCTGGCCAGCTGATTGGGAAGAAATGATGGACACGTTAAGAGGCAAAGTGGGAGGGATCATCAACATGAAAACACCCCCGACCCTTTTCTACGTCTGGATTCAATTCTTCAACAGCTCTGGCAAAGGAGACTGGAGAAGCAGAGGTAACTTGTGCTCACAAAAACACAAACACTATGCACATAAGAACAAACAAATCACAGCACACAAATACACATGTGCGTGTATACACCAGAAGCACACACAGAGAAATACAACACACACAAATAAAAACTGAACAAGAAAAAGCAAAGAAGAAGAGAAGAGAGACTTAGAGAAAGAAAGCCGTAGAGGAGGGTCTAGACTTACAGGAACTACTCTCACTATCGCTGGTGCAAGAGGTTACCAGCTCTGGAAGGACAAGACAGTCAGAGTCAGCAACACAAACACATACAAACATAAAGATACAGACAAACGCACACAGACTTGCATTGTTTTAAATGTCAAACAACCAATGACAACCTTTCTCTTATAACAGAAAACATCAGCCACACCATATTCATCCTTCAGTGTCTGTTCACTCATGGTGTTCAGGGGAGCAGGAGGCCAGAGGATATTAACCTATAAGTATGTTTACACCTGAACATAACAGATATAACAGTTAACCACTTCCTTTCTTGTTCTACTTTGTAATGTTCATAAAGGCATGGCAAAGTCAACAGGATCACTCTATATCCAACATTTGGGTTGAAATATTCAGCTTTTGCGATCTGTAATGGGTACTCCAGTCATTTAGTGCTGCACTTCCATAAAGTTATGGCTTTTTGTTGAAAGTGTTATTATCACAAACATTTGGTGGAAAGTAGATTAGTTCGGACTTGACTAAAGTACAATTCTGGGGTATTTGTACTTTATTAGAGTATTTTAAAGGTGGGGTAGGTCATTTTGGAGAAACCAGCTCGAGTGCACTAGAATTTGAAAATACACAACCGGAGAAAATCTGCCACTTCCTTACAGAGCCCCTCCTCCAACACACACGAACGCGCACATGACCAATGAGGGCACGAGATAAGTTTGTGCACAGATGGAAGGCTGACAGGCAGGTAGGCCATCCAGTTATTTTAGCCGGGCCGGCTAAAATGATTGGTCGTACTTTTTACAGTATTACGGCTTCCACAGATGATGTTTTGTTATGGATTTTTTGTCAAAGCACTTAAGATATTCATTGCGATCGGGATTTTAAGAGCATTCCATGGAATATAACAAAAAGTGTATCTCGAGCCGGTTTCTCAAACGTACCTACCCCACCTTTAATGTTATGCAAAATTCCTCTACTGCACTAGACTTCATAGAAAGATATTGTATTTTTGGAAGTAACTAGCTACTTCACAAAGGAACATTTAATAAAGCTATATGACCTTACAAAGTATGAAACATTGTCAAAAAGATAATTTGTTTACCTTGAGTAAAAGTAATACTTTAAGGATTGCTGACCAAACTTACATATATTTGCTAAAGTACAATTAAAATGTACTATTTTTGAAGGGTGGTATTGCTTTTACTTAATTCAATGATCTGAATGCTTCTTCTTCTACTGATCAATTGCTTTTGTTCACTATTAAACCATGTCCCCTATATTTTCTAGCAAAAAACATTAAACCATTATTGCTGGCTGGACTAGATCTATACAATGAGTATGTCAATAAAAATTGCAAAATTATGAATTTCAGTTATTAAACCGACCCATACTGGACAGTAGCCTTATGGACAAACAATATATTATATTCAACTTTAGGGATTGAGGATGAGATAAAGCTAGTGTCAGTGTGGTTTGTGGAGAATCTGAAGTGACATATACTGACCAGCAGGTGTCACTGAGGGAGAGAATACATACCTTTATCTTCCTGATCCTGCAGAGACAGAGAGAGAGAGAGAGAGTTATTAGTCATGATAGAATATGGTCTGACGTGAAGATGATCATAACAGTATCTGACTGTTATCAGCAGAAGCCCTTTTTGAAAGCTCATGGGTTCTTTATTCCACACACACACACACACACACACACACACACACACACACACACACACACACACACACACACACACACACACACACATACACATTTAGTAAGAATCCTTTGCAGTCTTTCTCAAAGCACGGAGCCAGGGGATACAGCACGCATGTGTGTGTGTGTCTATCTGTGTGTGATCTTTTTTTAATTAGCAGCTCTTCACCGTGCAGAGTAGCTGATTGCAGACTTGCTGATTCACAGTGTGAAGAAAACAGAGAGCGAGCTGACAACACACTGATATCAATAGCTTGTGTTAGACTGGTGTGTCAGCTCCCATCCTCACGCCGCGTGAAGTGTGATTCAAGTCTTGTCATCGCCTCACTTTATTAAACTCAGCCTGGAAACTTTCAAAGCCTGAATTTCAAACTAACTTGAATTAGTCTCTAATTGATGGTTAACAGGGCTACACTTCTCATATAAACAGGTGCTACAGCGGTCAGGGGCACAAGATACTTTTAGACAGCTCATTCTCTAACTAACCAATTCGTTTTATAAAATCCCATAATATTGAGTGCTAATACAAGTATTTATGGAATCATATTGCAGAATCTGAATGAAATGAAATAATGAACTGTCAGTTTATTGTGACCAGAATAAATGAAGCTGCTTTTGGAATGACACTGTAAATATAACGTTTTGTGTTACTTAAGAAACGTTACCTTTTACTTTATACTTTGCTGCATTAATCTGTTGGCTGTGAAATACACTTATGATTCATTAATACTTCACACTTATTACCATTTGTTTTATTCTATTCAGCTGTTTCTATTTGTTTGTTGATTCCTGGAACAAGTCATAAAAGATTGAGTATGTGAGAAATTATGGTAATTTAATTGCATTTATTTATGTGTTTTGCTCAACGCTCAGACAGCTCGGATGAAAAGTGGTTGAACGTCTCTGTGAGGCTTTGTTCTTTTCTACTTTTATTTTTTTATAGCATTGTTATATTTACTTTAATAGACAGGTGGAAAAATACTTTCCGCTGCAAATAACCCGATGCCAAAGCTACTTCTTCACTTGGTTTAACAGCATCTCAACACATCATCCTTACAGTCTACGTTTAGACTGGAAGCTCATTGGAAAGAGTTTCATGTGGTATTCAAGGAAATAGGAGCACACTCCTAAAAAAAGGGTTTAACTCATTTTAAGCAACAACTTTCAGTCTTACTGTTATAGATGAAAAGAGACTGTATTATCTGTTCTACTGATATGGGTTTCTCTTTTGAGAAATGAACCTCATGCTGGTTAGTGCACCAACAGCAATAAGCTAAACTCTTAAATGTGCCTTTGGTGACCTTTGTTATCACCTAACATCTTTTAAAAAGTTTATAAATCAGGCGTCCACTCACCGATCTGTCCTGAGACCTCGCCACTCTGACCGTCTTTAACCTCGACCTCTCCTTCTTCTCTGCCCTGTGAGATGAGAGGACATGAATAGACATTAAGAGAAATACAGACACAACACACACACATAAGAGTTTGAATAAAAGCAAATACAACTAAATGTATCTGACTTTATATCTCCTCTATATATATTTATAATCTGTTGGTTTTTCATACATAGTCTAGGAAGAGCTTCTTTGATTATTGTTTAGTGAAGAGTACATATGAAAAGATGTATTGAGAAGGCAATTTGAGAAATGGAAATAAATCATGCATCAATTCCATTTCTTGTGAAACACTGCCTTCACAACAATAACTGTTCACAGTAAAATAATGGGGTATAACCAGGCGAATGTGAACTCCATTTGATCTCCTCTAATGTCTGGAAGATCAAACCATTCATCACAGAATCACTTTAAAACCTCATCAAACTGCACATTTACTTCAATATCAGACTGATCCATAGAAATATCACCTGACAGTGCTTTATTAAAAAAGTAATTCTATAGCTCATATTAAAACATTTTCTTGATCTATCGTGTCTATTAGCAGCATATGAGACTATGGGATTTTGATAAGGAGTGACAGTCATCTGATTTAATTTGTGGACTTTAATATTCAGATATTACAAAGGAACGGATATTCTGTCTAATAATCTGAATGTGATTACAGACATGACCAAGATATCTTAGTCTCAAGGTAGAACATCTACGCTCTCCTCATAGAGGGCCCTGCTTGCTCCCACTAAAGAGACCGTTTTGCCTTCCAGTTTAAATGTAGATGTGTCACTCTCTATACAGGGCCACTTCTTGCTGGCAATCACATTCAACACTAGAATTTCAAATAAGGTGAATCTCCGCCGTCTCAGTTTCTCTGTAGAAGCCATACTTTATAATCAAGGCTGTGTTTTTATACACAGCCTTGAATAATGCAGCTTTGAGCCTCCTAATGCCTGTCAACATCTGAACATACTGAAAACAGAGCAGCAGCCCAGAGGTCCACAGCAGAAATGACAATATTTACTGGAGGAACGACGTCAGACTGCAGGCTACTCTTGGGTTTTAATGTCTGATGACAGCTCGGCTCTGAACATCCCCTTTATGTGAGCATGTTGGCTCTACTGCCAATACAGATGAGTCCTCTTTGTTTCTCAATACTCTCCTCTCTAATCTCTTTCACTTTCGTGTGATCAGAGTACAATTCCAAACAAATGGCTATTATTCTCAAGAAGGAGAGGAGAAGAGAGAAGAGGAGCAAGACAAGGAGGAGGTGAAACAGAAATAGGAAGATAAGAAGTAAGATGGGAGGGGATGAAGACAGGACAAGACAAGGTGGAAGAGGAGAAGAAGGGCTGACAGAAATTGGAGTAAAAGTACACGATTTATCTCTGAATTGTAGTAAAGTAGAAGTACAAAGTAGCATAAAATGGAAATATTCAAGTAAAAAGAACAGAAGCGTGATGAGAGGGGTGAAGTGGAGATGGTGTAAGACCAGGGGGGGGGGATTTAGATACAGAGGAGGAGAGCTTCAGTACGGATGTAAGGACAATGAACAGTGAAGATTTGGGAGATGAGGAGAAGGTCGACCAAAAAGAAGAGGAAAGGAGGCGGGGGAGAGCAACAAGAAGGGAGAGGGGGAGGGAAGATAACTTGCGGAGAGGGAGAGACCCTATTAGACCTTATATTGTTTAATTATGTTTTTACAACAGGTTACGATATATAATATTCTGTTATTATTTTACCCCAATGCACCCACTGTTAACAACCTGCCACTACTCTAACACCTCCGTGTATTGATACTCCGCCCTCTGACCCCGCGTCCCTACATCCATCCCTCACACCCCTCACTCCCACTCATCCTTGTCGCCTCTAATCTCTTTCACTTATTCACTGTCGTCACTGCCTCCCTTTCTTCCCTTCAACTCCATCACTTTCAGCATCCTCCACGTCACGGACTGAGCTGTTCTAATGTGTCTCCTCAGAAAGCTATCAACATCTTTCTGTCACCTCCTCTGCGGGAGATGAGAGGGAAGAGTTTCTACCTCAGGTTTAAATTCAGCACATTCTTCATAGTGATGATGTTTGCAGTGCTATGAGCCAGCAGCAAAATAGCACACCGACGTAAACTGAAACCAATTTGAAACCCTCCACCACCCAGAGCTGGACAGGACAGGAACAGGAGGCAGAGGAGAGGACATGGGAGACAGACAGAGAAGAGGAGAGGAGGAAAGAAGGAGAGGAGGAGGTGCAGGTGAAAGAGAAAGCAGAGGATGATAAGGAAGAGGGGGCGAGAGTAGAGGAGAAAAGGAGAAGATAGAGAGGAGAAAAGGAGGTGTAGACACAGGAAAAGAAGAGAGAGGAGATAAAGAGAAGTTGTATGATAAAAGGAAGAGAGGAATAGAGTAGAAGGAGAATAGGAGGAATAAAGAGTTGCATATACAACAGAAGGAGGAGGAGAAGGAAATGGAGGATGGGGAAGAGAAAAGGAGATAAGGAGCTGAAAAGGGGAGAATAGGAAGAATACCAAGAGGAGAGGAGGCGAAATGGGAGAAGACAACGAGAGGAGAAGGCGCGGGTAAAGGATGTGAAGTGAACAACGGATAGTAGGAGAATAAAAGAAAGAGAATGAGGACCAGGAAAAGGAAAGGTGAGAGACGAGATGAGAATAATGAGAGAAGGAAGAGGAGAAAAAGAAGGAGAGAAGGAAGAGAGGAGGGGAATAAGAAAGGATTACAAGGTGGAACGAGGTGGAGCATGAGATAAGGACAGACTCTTGTGGAATTGATTCTGTGGTGGAGAGGAGTATGTACAGCATCGATGTTTGGCGCCAAGGCTCTGACCTTGATGCTCCCTCCTGAGGCTCAGGACAGCAGGAAGTGGGGACAACAATACTCACTTCCCCAGTGGGAAATACAGGTTGATTCTAGGATGGAGCTGGGACTTAAAGTACTTACAGACTTAAAATACTAGCAGAATAATCAAAGAACTGACGGCTTCAGTACATCATGACTAAATAAAACAGTGAGTGCGGGATCAAGAGTTGACTGTCTAAAGCTCGCAGACTTCAGAGAGCCACTCCCAACCCAAACCCTTTGAACTCTGACCTCCTGCGGCTGGGGATGACGCCGACTTCAGGGCAGTTTGGAGGCGGGGGGCTGAGGTGGCGGGCGGGCCACCACTCCTCTTCGCCAGCGCTGGTCACGTGGAGGACATCCCCGAAATGAAAGGGCAGGACTTGACCGGGCGCGCTCAGATCGGACCCACTGCCGTCGTAGTCGAACAACGCTCTGCAGACAGACAGAGAAGCAAACCATATTAGATTTTACACATTTTGTCAAAAAGAACAAAGATAAATGCTACTTCAGACTGACAATACAAGCTGGAGTGGACACAAATAGAAACATTAGACAGTCATTTAGTGAAATAATGTGGAAATACTTCTTATTTTGCCTTGTCGTAATGAAACCACAAAATATTTGACAGGAATAAATGTAAAATTTCCCATTCTATCTTTATTCCAAATTGGGAAAAAAGAGACAATGTGGTTGAATGCCTCACATTACTTTTGACAACAACTTGACAACAATAATCAAAGCTAAAAATACATGAACTGACGAAACAATACAGAAAAACAGCCAGAGTTGTTGTAGTGAATGAGAGCCAAAGCAGCTGAGGACTGCTTTCCAACACCATTATTTATGACCTTGTCTGTGTGCACATGGTATGTGTGTGTGTGTGTGTGTGTGTGTGTGTGTGTGTGTGTGTGTGTGTGTGTGTGTGTGTGTGTGTGTGTGTGTGTGTGTGTGTGTATGTGTGTGTGTGTAAGAACAAGTCTGTGCCCCGTGTTTGTTATGGTGCCTAGACTGTGGTTGTCCTCTGATACGTGTAGTCCTGTCTACACAGATGTTAA